CAAATGTCGATTTTTTATCCATATTTTTAATTAGTTTAACATAAATTTAAAAAATTAAAAACCATCAATTGTTTGATAAACATTCAATTAATTTAATTTATTTGATAAAATATCGTTATTTGTTCGATACAAATTTAAGAGATGATAAGATAACTAAACTTAAATTTTCATCGAATCACTATCGGAAAAATGTCGATTTATTTTCGATATTTCAAAATTTTATTTTTCTTTAAAGCTCAAAAACTGTTATCGAGACAAATAAGCACGTTTTCGTATTACTTTCGCATAAATTGTCACCATAGTTGAGTACTCATTTATGAACGTTTTCGACAATTGTCTAATTTATCAGCGCTGAGGTGGAAATCACATTAAGCACATACATACATGTACTCTAAATAAAGTAATGAAAATGTGGCAAGTTGGCAACTCTAATCCAATGTATTTTTTGTTCAGAGAACTGTTGTAGGCATGCTTATTTCTTGTAGGCGATATAATAATTATTTATGTAAGTGTACATACATATATGCTATTCAAGATTTCTGTGAAATATACCATAAGCTCTGAAAAGCCAATTTAACATTTTCAAAGTTTTTTACTTTAAAACCGTTCATTCCCGAACGTCTAATTGAAAAAATAGTAACAACTAATCATAAAATTTTTTTGAAGTTAACTAAGCTGCATATTTTAAATATTTATTGAAATAATTTTTTTTCTGTCTTTATTACGTTTTTATAATTATTTCCGCTATTGTTGTTATTGTGTATGAGTTTTAAAAACATAGGAACTTTTCTTATTTTGTTTTTGCTGTTGTTTGTTTGTTTTTATTTGCTTTTATCAGTGTTATTTTATATGATTAGAATGAGCATTTTACAAAATATTAATTATGCATGCAATTAACCGTACCAAGTAAATCATTAAATAACGGTACCTCTTTAGTTTTTGTTTTTAAAAAAGAATTGCACACAATTTATGCAAAACGAATTTAAACAATTTATTTTCTATAAAAAAAATGTATCATATAAATTTAATAAAAAAAAATTTTTTGCAGCAATATTTTGTTAAAGAAAATCATGCATTTTTACTAATCACCAGTGTATCAATGAAAATGTTTACTAATTCTGTCTAATTGCGTTGATGCCCTTCGAATTTTTTATAATTTGCTCGTGTGTGTGTACACTTACTGAGCCAAATTAAATTTTATGCACATTTCATTTAAAAAAAACACTGCCGTGATCATTGTTTATACATATGTATGTTTGTCAGCGTGTATGTGTGTATGTACCACTAGTTTCTACAAAATCAATTCAATTTTCATAGTTTCCTGTATTTTTAATTGTTTTAATTTTCTCTAATATTTTCTTCATTTAATTTACTTTAATTTAATTTAACTTTTCATCTGCATTATCTGCCATCAGCTACGAGTTTACCGTTTTGTTGTAAATTTATAGTTAGTTTTTCTTTTGTTTTGTTTTTGTTTTCTTTTCTCATTATTTTTATCAATCACTTTTCCCATAATTGCTAATTAATACATGTTCTAAATACTATTTTTTACACTTCGAATATATATGTATGTATGTATGCATGTATATACTATATATATTATTCAAATATTTTATACTCAATTTATAATACCTGTTTATGTTTTTAGCTAATTTTTAGTACACTTTACTTTTATTTATGTTTTTGCGTTTCTTATACTTTTTTATTTTTAATAATTATATAATTGTTTTTTGTTTTTTATTTTGTTTTTCGTTTTGTTAGTTAAAATGATTTGTGTTCAACGATTGTTCTTCAGTAGTTTTAGTTTAACAACCCTGTTCAGCTTTGTGTGAAAAAGATTGTTTCCAGTGGGTTCGGTTGGTTTTGTCGTCTGTGGTGATGGGCGTCGCTGTAATGGCGCTGTATAACGGAATGCGGCACATGTGAACGTAGGAGAACGTATGAAATGTGTTATACGTATAAATATACGAAAATAAAAAACTTGAATGCAAAAACACAAAAAAAATATATTAAAAAAAAAAATATATATATATATAATAAAAAAAAAATAAAAAAAAAACATATTAACAAAAATAAAAAATAAAATACCAATCAAAAAAAATAACAATAAAATACATATGTACATATATAAAGAAATAATAAATATATATTAAAAAAGAAAAAATGCAAAAAAATAATTAAAAAATTTAAAAACAATAACAAAAATTTTTACACAATATACAACAAAAACAAAATTAAAAAAAAAAAAATTAAATAAAAATAATAAAAAATAATGAAAACAATAAAAAAATATATTCAAAATAAATAAATAAAATGATCAAAAGGGACTCAGAAAATTATAACAAACTGAAAAAAAAACAAATAACTAAAATTTAAAAAAAAAACACATAACTAAAAGTTAAAGAAACAATAAATAACATATTCAGAAAGCATAAACAATATAACAAAATATACAATACCAAAAACGTAAAAGCTTTCAAAACTATGTTATCCGCAAAAAACAAAACACTTTATATATAAACTAAAAAAAAAAATAATATCAATATATATAAACTAAAAAAAAAAATACTATCAATATATATAAACTAAAAAAAAAATAATATCAATATATATAAACTAAAAAAAAAAAATAATATCAATATATATAAACATATAAACCGAAAAATAACCAAAAAATATTTCATTCAAAAACTAGCACAAAGTAGAAAAAAATAATCAAAAAGGTTGCACGAACGAAGTACGAAAAATATGAGAATTTATAAATACAAATAAAATATACAAATAATAAAAATTAAATTAAAAAATTATTAAAATATAAAACATCTAAAAATCATTAAAACACATTAAGAGGCATGAGCAACGAAACTCAAGCGTTTGTGAAATTTAAAATTGCAAAAAATTCTTTTAAATCTGCAAAAAATTATAAATAATTTATATCAAAAAATGATGTACCGTAAACGATGTATATATGCACATACATATATACTACTCACTCACTATTATGTAAGCCTGTAGTTGATCATATGGTTTGCATGCGTGTGTTATTTATTTATGTCATACGTCTTTTTTTACACACTTCTTCGCTAGTATATATTTGTTTTTCATATTGTTTTTTTCATATACTAATAACCACGTGTTACAATAAATTCTCTTTTGTTCGCAAACTTGCTTCAAAAACGCCACAGTTAAAATTTTTCACTTTGTTTTTGCTTCGTTTATCCTAATGCGTCGTCTTCATGCCACTATTTGCTATGTACTCGTATGTATAGGTATATGTACGTTAATAAATTTAAATACATTCACTTCTTACTTAGTATATAATATATAATATTGTATATTATATAGTAATTAATTTTTTATTTATTTTTGTTTTTGGATTTGTTCTATTTAAATATTAATAATTTTATATTTTAACTAAAAAATACATTCAAAATTTAATTTCATTTTTTTGTTACGGTTTTTTTGCAATATATTATATATATATATATATGTATGTATATATGTATATATCTTTTTTGTTTTATTATAAGTATATCCACATTTTCTCGCTTGTATTATTTTGTAATCTCTAACTTTTTTTGTTTGTATGTATGTGTGTAAATTGTCTGCTACATACATATAGTTTATGTGCTGAACACCAGTTTTGACCGCTTAACGGTTTATTCTCCAGTTCGGTGCAGGCCGTTCCACATTTCCATAACTCTCTTTCGAGAATTTGTTTAGTTGCGCGTCCACTTGCTTGCCTACTGCATGCGGCAATACACATCATCCAAGTGCCCCCGAAGTAGTTGTTGGGCTTCTGCTTTGCGTTTTTGTTGAAAATGTCACACGCCACAGCTGCACCGCCGCATCCTCCATTTGTTTAACAGTTTTTATTATGTTTCTTTTTAAGATATTCCCTAATTATCGCTCACTTTAAAGTGAGTTTGTTTGAGCTGATTGGCGATGCTATTCATGTATTTGTAGTTTGTTTTCGTTTTTTGTGGTTTTTTTTAGTGAGTTTATTCTTGCACTTGTGTTTCTGCTGATTTGCCGATATATCTCTTAAACAGTTGTTGCGGTTCTATTGAGATCTGCGGTTATTTAAATTTCTACTTTTTGAGGTTATGAACAAAATATTTTAAATCAGTTTTAAAGCATTCTCAACAAATTGTGTATTTTTTGCTTTTGATTTCTAAGGCGTATTCCAATGTCGAATTTTCCTTTTTTGAGGTTAAAAATAAAACTTTGTTTGCAATTAGTATGCTTTTCATATATAAAAAACGCATTAACAGCCCTTTCTATATGCGTTAGCGGAAATACTATAGTCTGAAATACTATATGAGCTCAATATGCTATATTTACAAACATGTGTTCCCGTAGGAGCCACCAGCGTTGACTCGAAATTGTGATGCAAATATTTTGAACTCTTTGCTAGCAAAAAAAAAGTTTCTAAATAATTACTAAAATTATCTAACATTCAAAATACTCACTGCACCAAGCAACGTATCTGTAGTAATCATAGCTGCCTTATTTATGGTTTTTAAAGATCCGCTTTAGTTTGCGGCATGTTAAATGAGGCTTGTGCAACATAATATAACAGAGCTTGCCACAGGCTCGAAGAAAAAATATAAATTTTCCAACATGCACTAGATCTATAAAGCAGCCAACCGTAACAATTGCCAAAGTTTATTGTTTGGTTGCAACAAATATTGAAAAAAAATTATAAAAATAATTTTGCGAACCTAACCTAAAAATTCGACTGCTCTAATCTTTCGCCCACAAATCGCCTAAAGCGCTTACAATCTCAAATCAGCTCTACCACCTTCATAAGAGTATGTATAAGTCAGTTTAAGTTTGATTTTATTGTATTTTTATGTTTCTTTTTTATCATACTTAGCTTAAGGTTTACTAATAAAACGAACAAACAGTTTTGATTGATTTACATAAAAATTACAATACAACTTCACACTTATAGTTTTCACTTCTCTTCTTATGCATTTGTATTTGTTTCTTCTTTATTTTTTTTTTTTTTTTGTTCTTGTATATAATAATATACTGATTTGTATTTGTTCTGTTTAAATTCTTTTCAGTTTTACCATATACTATGTGTATATATGCATGCTTTGTTACATTTACAGTTACGATTTGCCACTTTAAGCGCTGCCGCCAAGCTTGCTGCGTTTTGAATTTCTCTAATACATTTTTTTTTTCAATTTTTTTAAAATAAATTTCACAAACACCTTTTCTTGCTAAGGATTAATACTAAAAATGCCGCAGCTTAGTGTATATTTATGTGTTAAAAATAAAATTCAAATCAATCACGCCGCAACTTATATGCTTGAATATGCTTGAGCATGCTTGAATGGTTGCTTTCTTTCGAAGTTATGCGCATTTTACTCCGTTTTTGCAATTCACCGCATTAATTCCAATTAATATAAATTTTTTCCAACTTTTTTTGCGTTACTTGACTTATTGATTAGGTTGTCGAAGTCAGTGGTGCATGCATATGTATGTGTGTGCGCAGCTGATTATCAATAATTCATAAATTTTACACATAGTTGCACAGACATGCACTTTTTTGCCCGCAGCTCAATATTCACTCACTTATGCTTTTACACTTTCTGCTTCGCTTTAAATTTTTTCTTTTCTTTTCTCTCGCTTGATTTTATTTCTACTTTTAATTTGTTCTGTTGCCTGCTTAAGCTGCACTCTAATACAAAATTTGCGCTTTTCTTGCGCTTTCACGCATTGTTGCACGCGTGCATGTGTGTGTGTGTGTGTGTAAATCTTCCCGCCCTTACTTTACTTTGCTTAAAGTACGTTTTTTTTCTTCTTAAGCCTAAATCAATTAATTTAAAATAAAATTCCATTTCGGCTATAATTAAATATTCAATATTAATAATTTATGTATAATTAAACTTTAATTAATAACATTTAGCAGCAAGGAAATGCATTTGCCATAACGCAAGTTGTTTGTTTGTATGTACGATATACATACATACTCGTATTTGTCGCCACAGTGGCGAATTTGCAAAGCGATTACGCGCCGTTTTTCAATTGGCATTTTTTCCGTTATTTTATTTTGTTTGCTTAGTTTTCGTTCTGCATGTTTTTTTCTTAACGAAACGCAGCTTTCGAAAATATTTATCGCATTTAAGACATACTTTTTTCTTCTGCTTTAAGTTGAACTTTCACTTATGTATGTATGTGTGTATGTATATCCTCTGCTATGCCTAGTAAAAAATCATAAATTTTCTTCAATGTAATTTTAAAATTTATTATTATTTTATTTTTAATTTTTATTTGTATTTTAATTTTAATTTTAGCTTTTTCGCAATTTGCTGTTTCATCAGCGTTTGCTTTAACATCTGCTCTATAACAATACCGTGAATACTCACTGCTCTCAATTCAGCGCATACATGTAATACATATTATAATTAATATTATTTTAAATTTTGAAATTGTTTTTGTTTTTGTTTTTGTTTTTCTTGCTCTTATTGTGCTTACATAAAATATTACAGTATAACTATATTAATATAATTTGTTTTTGTTTTTGTTTCTGTTGTGTTGTTGTTGTTTTATGAAATACATATATTTAACACCAAAATTTCGGTTAGTTGCTGCTATTGTTGTTGTTGTTAATTTTAGTACGCTAGTGGTTGTCATGTATATTTATATGTGAGCAGTTGCGAAATTTTGTTGGCTGGTATGAACTTAGTTAGTTGGGGGGGGGGGAAGGGGGTTATGTTTTCCGAATTTTCTTGTCTGTGCCATTTTTTTCTATGGATTTTTCGCTAATGCGTAAAATTTTCTCAAAAAAATATCCTAATCTATATATATATATGTAGTAAACTTGCCTGTATGGGTATGTGTTATGTGTTAAAGTTGTATCATTAATAATAAAAGTAATAATTAATAAAAGGTGTAGCAATAATTTTCATTGAATAAAACTACAAATGTAAAAAAAAAAATATAATAGTGACGCACATATGTATATGTATAAGCATATATACATATGCATATAAAATATAGATTTATTCGCCAGTTCTTGGGCTGTATAGAGTTAGTTCTTTGTTGTTGTTGTTGTTGTTGTTGCATAGAGTTCCCTTAGCTGGGTTGATCATTAAATGAGTACACTACGAATTTTGTTGTTGTTGTTTGCTGTTGCTACTGCTGCCAATTGCTATTTAGAATAGTATAGTTGTTGTTGTAGATATGTAGTGATCCTTGTTGATTTCTTGTTGTTGTTCTTGTGTTCCTTATTATTTGTTGTTGCTATTGTTTGCTGATTTTTTGTTTGCGATTTTTTCAATGGTCGTCTTTTGGTGTGCTTCCTGCGCCGCGCTACGCCTATTATAGTCGAATATTTTACGTTTCTGCACCTATTTCTTTCTTTGTCTATTGTTATGTTATTTTTGTTGTTATTGGTTTCACTTCTATGCCATTACTTATTCGTACTGCAGCTGATTACACTTTGCACATGCATCTGCATGCATTTATGTGTATAAAGTAGTTGTGTTGTTGTTGTTATTGTAGCTTAGATGTTCGATTTGGAGAAGCTGACGCGCAAGTGATTCGATTCGGAGAGCTGGTGATTGTGCATTTTGATAAGCGCCAAGACGGCTTCCTCCACCGACGAGAGCTGTAGGAGCGCCATTTTGCGATCCTTACTGTAAAAGCGAGTGCAAGGAAGAGAAAAAGATAAATTATTAGTTTGAGTTTTTAAAAAAATTAGAAACATAAAAAAAATAATTTTAATAAAATTCAAATAAGTTAATTAAAAGTAATTTAACTAAATAAAAATTAGAATTTAAAAATAATAACTAATGAATACAAATTTAATTAATAAAAAAAAATAAGAGTGAAAATAGACACTAAATACTGAAATGCTGAAAATCAGAGATTTAATATCGATTCTAAATTCGGGTGTTCTCGAAATGACAGTGATTTGAAGTTTCAATCTTTCGATGAAAAATTCGAAAAATATTTTAATCATTGAAAGTCCGACCGTATGCGTCGTTTTCAAAATTGACTGAAAAAGTGTTAAGGGTTAAATCCAACTATAGAAATATTCTTTGGGAAATGCTTTTGAAAGGCGTTTGGTTCACCTATGAAAAATATATAATATGTACAAACATATATACTATTTGTTGAATGTATGAAATACTTTTATGGATGCTATAAAATCGTCCAAGATTTTTTCTTTCAATAGAAAGTTTAACTAAAAAAATATGTACATATAAAAAATTTAAAAAATTAATATTAAAAAAATTATAAAAAATATTAAGCTAAAAAATTCTAAAAGCCGAAAAAGAAACTCATTATAAAATATATGATATTTAAACTTACGGGAAAAACTTGAATGCTTTAACTTCAAAATTGTTGGAGGTGAATGCTTCCTTGATATCTTCCTCAGTGCACGATGATCTGTACGCAATAGAAGAGAGTACAAAAAGCAATTAATAAAAAAATTAAAATTTTCACAAAGTGCTTTAATAAGTATTATATATACAATATTTGCATATGTATGTATGTATGAGTGTGTAGGTGTGTGTGCCTGCGTGCACTTTCCTGCAATTTCGCAACAATTTTCCTAGCTGCTGCACACTCCTTGCCACGCACCAACACCTCTCTATGCTCTCTTGCCGAATTGCAAATTGCTTCTTTACTTAACCATCTGCCTTCGACAATCTTTTCAATTTCACGCTACCAGCTACTTGAGCTTTGAGCAGCACGTTTCAGCTTTCGAGCCGGTAAGCGCACTCAAGAGTAGCCACCTATACGAGTATATGTATGTATACTCTCTTACCGCCTTCGTTCGCGCTCCCCCGACTAGTGGCCAACAATCAACCACTTGTGTGCACTTCCACCGTTTACCCTTTAAGCTGCACCCATTGTTTTTGGTGTTGAAGCGCCGCAGCGTCGAGTGTGGCATGTTTAAATTTAGCCGTCGTTGCTTATTTTTGTTTCATGATAGTTTTTGTTGTCCCTAGACACACAGCAGGTGAGTAGAAATTTAATAATTTTAACGGCAGGCGGCACTTGGCAAACGCAGCGCACTTACCGCCTGCTATGATACCACCAAGATGGCCAGCACAGCGTTGGGATTGCATGAGAAGGTGTCAAAGCTTAAATTTACGAAAACAACCAATTTGCTTGAAAGAAGGTGCGGCGACAGCGATGGAGGGCAACACTTTACTCAATTCTCACTCTTTTTTTACCGTTGAACCTCTTCGGCTGCTGTCAACAACAGGAGCTAATGAAATAATACTAAAATTATGTTTATTGGCTGAAGATGCTCTGATGGGTTTGATGGGCGCGCTATAACGGTAATTATAATTGGGGAAAACTGTTTGTGCTGCTGTTCGGATATAATACAACAGCAGGCGATCAGACACGAAGCACTGTAATGCGTTGTCATAATAAACGTCGACATGCAGCTGGGCTTTTTTGTGCGATGTGAAAGCTAACGCTCTCGCTGATGGTAGCCAATTTCTGTAGCAGAAACTTAAGCTGATATTGATCTTGAATATTTTTTCATTTAAATATAGATCTACCGCAGAAATGAACTTTACCTACTGACGGATGACCGTGGTTAAAACAAAAATATACCTTTATATATTCATTTGCTTAGGACTTGGACTTAAAACCCATCGATTGGTAGTCAAGCTCACAGTGCACTCGGCTACAACCGAAAATTCTTCTATTATAAAATGAATGCTTGACCAAGATTGTTTTCTAAGCTTTGAAATTAAACATGGAAAAAGTTCTATAAAAGCTTTAGTTACCTTAATGCTGCAACTAAGTTCGAAAAGCGATATATGCTCCACCAATAATGGCTTGAGAATGAATATAAAGGAAAGGGCCATAGCAATGTGGCGGAATTTTTGTTTTACTTTTAATACTTTCACTTTTAAATTTTACCATAGTGGGCGGGAATGGATTCTCCAGTAGACATACTCTGTAGATTTAGCTCCGTGCAACTAGTTCATTTTATCAAATTAGCCGAACTCATTCAGTAGTAAGAAATCGGGGTCAAATGAAATGGTCAATACAAGCCAAAATTGGAGGCATTAACTAAAAATAAATTTCGCATACTGTTCAAGCATAGTTTCGCACATAACCGTGTTTGTTCACCTCCAAACTTTCCATTTCATAGCGATTCATGTAGCCTAGTTTTTTGAGAGTCTACAAAGATGTGCTTTTCGTTGTCTCGCCCTACTAACACTGCTAAATATTCGACTGGTACGAGATGGAAGTAAGACGCTCGTCAAGGCACGGCGCTCACGGAGTAGAAGCACAAAGTTTCGCATTGTCGGTGGATATAACATAATTGTGGAACAGGCGCATTCCTCGAGGAAGTGCGTCAGAATTTGAAGTTCGTACGTGGCGGCACATTAGTGCATTGCGACTATGTCGTTACTGCGAGATTTCAAGAGTTTACACAAAGATAACGACGGTCAAGAGCTTCATTATGGATCGCGTTGGGAAAGCTAAGTGCTAAGCAAGAGGTGACAGTGAAGATTGTACGATAATTACCCGAAGTTTTTATTAAGTATGGTGTGTTTGCCCATGTGTGGTGAAAATGACACGTTTCCTCTCGCTGCTTTCTTTCTCACCAGGGCTCTCTATCTATCTATCTACTTCTCTCGAATATAAGTAAGCTTAGCTTAACTTGGACAACTATAGATTCAGCGATTCATTCTTATTCCATGTTATTTAAGAAATTACATAGTGTTGTTGTTTCAAAGTAAAATATTATAATAAACTATCTGCTACAGCAACAACAACAAAAGAAACTTAAGTATAGTTTCCTTCCGTACATTTTTTGTTACTTCTTCTGTACTGTCTTCTTTTTCAAAATAGTATATAAATATAATTTTTGTGGCCTCCGTGCTGTTTGGGGGCTTATTTTTTATCAGATTTTTAAAAATTTTTGAGATCAATTAAGCACGAAAACTAAAATCCTCACAAGTGTAGCACACACATTATGCACCGAAGAGGTCTAATGCATGCCTGCGTCACATGCATCCAAAAAATTTTTTTTTTGTGTGTGAAATTTTTGTTCTATAATAATTTAGAGTTTCTACTTACGGAATGTTACTTAAATGCAATGTGGCCGATGGTGGATAAATGTTTTGATAATTTTTGCTGCCCGGTTTCTTGAATCGATGCAATGGATTTTGTGAGTAGTCGCGTGTGAGGCCGGCATCCGGTTGTCCTTCCTTCGGCAGCTGCACAGCCTGATGTTTACTAGCCATAACACGTATCGCCTTACCCCACAAGCGCAATTTGTCAAGGTGATTCATAGCTGCAAAATAGTTGAAAAAGTGGCAAATTCGTGAATTCATGCATACATGTGCATATAAATACATATATATATATATATATATTTTTTTTTTTACAAATATACTATATAAAATACAAAAGAAACAGCTTTGTAGGGTTATGTGGTGTAAATTTGTTTAACAAATATTATGCGGGTGGAGACGAATGAGATAAATGACCTTACAAATACTAAAAATAAGCAAATAAATATCAGTTTGAGAAAACGGTTTATGTTTGTCGTAAAATATGTATGTTTGTGTATAAACTTGCTGGGTTTTGCGCCGTTAAAGCAACTTTGCACGTTTCGAACTTATTTATTGGTCATTCGGTATACACATTTATATATTATATATATCTGCATGCTGACTGGCGAAGAAAACTATCTTTTGAAATGTGGCAACAAGTCGATTGTGTCAGGTCCACGATACAACTTCATCTTATGACATTGCGCCTGCGGCCATAACAAGCAAACACCTTTATTTGAATGAGCTGACAGCTTTGCATGCGAAAATGCAAATGTCAAAAACTGTTGCAGCAGGATAATATTGTATGCAATGAAACATTGTATAATAAAATAAGTTATCGATACTGTAGTTTAGTAAAATGATAGCATGTGGCAAGCTGAGAAAATCATCGACTGCAAAATTCTAGGAAAGCATATGCTTTTTCTTCACAAGAAGATGCTTTTAGGCGAAATGACGGTGATGTTTATTTTAAATCAAATATTTGAAAAACAAAATTAATTATTTTTCGTGATATTTTTCCAGCAGTTATCAAATCTGTCACGGATGTTTGAAGATAGTGCAGCTAAAGCCGTCAATGTCAATGCATAATCGCCTAAAAGTATGCAAAATATTTCTAAAATCTTAATTACTGAGTTGTATTTCTTTTTTTTTATTGCAAAATGAGGTGTCTTTTGTAGTCATGATGTACATATATATTCATATATTTGAACTGAAATTTTTTAAAAGTTTCGAACTTATGCGCCTACTTTTAGGCGAATGACATTTAACCTATAACATATATACTATACTTTAATGTTACTGCAGTACTTTTGAATGTTAAAATATTTATTAACAATATTTTAATTAAATTTCTATATGATTTTCAGTGGTAACCAACACTTTCTCTATGCATCTAATAAATATTTAAACGTGGTAAGATATTAGGTCCTATTCGTCATAGTTAGTGAGATATCAAAGTTGTTTACAAATTTAAATACTTTTTTGTATAACACTGAATTTGGTATGTTTTTCAGTTTAAACACTAAGCAGTCAACGAGAAGAAGATGACCTTTAAAAGGCTCCACTTGCAAGTCAGAAAAATCGCGTTTTTTGTAAATTTATTTTTGAAGAGACATTTTATTAAATAGATGAATTACAAAAGTGTAAATTTTAAAAATTTAATTTACTTAAATAATCGGTGACTAATTTTGAAAAATTTCGGATTCCAGTGAATCTTTAGCATATCCCCAGGCGGATGAGCTTTGAGTTTCTGTTTGTGGAAGCTGCACAACCAACCATATTATTAGCATAAATTTTTATGCATGCTATTCGAAACAAAAATAACAAGTTTTAATCTGCATTATCCATACTTAACGCAATGCAAAGGTAAAATTATGAAAAAATAGCATGTTATATAATCTCATATGTAAGTTGTTTGTATTTAGATGAGATTGCATGTGGCACGTGGAAAGTTAATATTAATAACACAATTTCTCTGCATACCAATCACCACTGGACGAAATTTTTTCCACTTCACGCACTCTTCCCCCTCTCGCAAATACTTTTCGGCAATAATCAAAGTTGCCATCGTAACAATGAAATTTTGCGACTAGTGTTTCGCTGCTATTGCTGTTATTGCCACCATATACCAAGATATTGAAAGCACACCTCGCCAATAACTTCAAATGGAAATGTGAAAGAAAATATCGTGAAAATAAACATATCGCAGTCAAATGTTCGAGCGCAAATTAATTTGCACACACACAGTGCACAGTGAGAGCGCATAAAAAATTCACTTACACGCTCGCTTGCACTTATTTATCGCACCTTCCAGGTTGAATGCCTGGTATGCAGTTCCCCAGAGACGCCTCTCGAAGCAGAGAAAAAGATGAAAGAAAAAGGATAACGGGCTGCCATCAAAGGCATTGTGTGAGATGACGGCGTATTACGGTATATATGTGTGTTTGTGCCAAGGTAACGATAACAATAACAACAGCTGTAAGTTGTAAGGGAAATGACACCGTTGTCTTGGCAGTGCCAAACGTCAAAAAATATCGCCGATGGAGACGCGGACGCTGTCGATTGCTGTGACTGTCAAGACAGTAATGGACCCCATATAGACTACTAATGTGCCACCAGGGCAGTGAAAATCATTTCGTACACTACTAAAGTGCGAACACACACACACTCACACCCAAACTCGCTAAGGTATTTGAGTACTCACTGAAGGTGTTGCTGTCGAAATGGGCTTTTATACGCTCACATATGCTCATAAAATAGTGGACGAAGTACGTTCAGCGCATTGCATTAAGTTGGAGAAAAGGCGTTCCATTTTATACAGTTGTGTGGAAGAAAGTGTAAATGGCGCGCTCGCTTGGAACAACGTCAGAGCAACGAAAGTATTTTATACAAATAATTTTAGTAAGGCCTTTAACAACCGAAAATCTTTTGTAAAGCTCTAATCTAATTTTCATCAAAAATCTGTGTTTCAACGGAAGTATTGATAATAACAGCTTCGGCGATTAATACGAACTCAAAACCCCGAAGTTTCGCAGGCTTGGCAGTATATACGGTCAGTTTTGTTGTTAGTAGCATTTTTCCCGCGGGGTTCTACTCAAAATTCGCAGACTGACCTGAATGTTTTTTCTTGTGTGTATGTGTGTGTATACTCGTAGTTGGAGCCGTAACAATGGCTGAAGATGGACAATTGCAAGTTGAGTACAAAATTGTATTTTACATGCATAAAATAAACATTATTTCCCTTCGTTTACTGCAACCTTTCTCAAAGTGAGTTAACAACTTAAGTCCGCTGCTGTTGGGCAGTCGCTGCAAATGGAAGAAGGCATCGCCTCTGTTGTTAAGTATGCATGTAAGTAGGGCTTGGGTATGTAATGCGAGCTGCAAATGGACCATTGTTGCTGACAAAGTGGAAAATGTGAAGGAAATTATTTATTTAAACTATCGCATATATGCGCAGACAGAGTCACTTATATATATGCTTTTAAACATATATGTATATATATATATAAATATAGATATTTGGTATGTTTACAATAAGTACTTTAAGCTAGTAACGAAGGGTTAATCGACTTTAAGCGGCATTGTTGCATTTATCGTAATTCATTATTTGTAATATAAACACACGTTTCGAGCGACTTCAGGTAGAGAAGTGTGATTCGAAGATAAAAATGATCTACTGCTTACGGAAGCCTCTTTCTAAGAACAGAGTGTAAAAAGGTGCATGTATGAAATAAATCGTCTTAACATCTAAACACATTTGGCTACCGAGGAATTTATCGAATACAGCTTTTTTGATTAGTTGTTTCACTATTCCATAAGTTATGTTGTCATTTTATAAACTGTGAAATCCAAAAAAAAGCGAAATCAGCTTATTAACTAAGTTTTTAAGGTATAAAAGAAAGCTTTAAACTAAGTGCCAGAAAGCATAGCGATGGTAGTTTGCTTCTATAAATAACAAGGCAATTTTGAGAAACATTATTAAATATTTGAGGCACCTAATCACTACTAAAAATACTTTTAATGCCGTTAGAGAAATGATTTATTTCGAACGCTAATGGCTAGGAATTTGCCCGAGGAATTTGTTCGAGGCAATCTATTTATATATAACATATACTCTTTATATAACATATACTTTTTTTTTTTTAAGTTGTAAAGTCAAACAAAGTCCTTCGTACTAACTTTTTAAAGGTTTAGGTAACGTTAGGTTAGATCAGAGGGTTGATGCAAAATCAATGGATCTCAATTTGGACAGATATTTGTCCTTTGAGTTACCTAAAAACTCCTTAAAGTGCATTACGTAGCTTTTTGAGCTTGCCACAAATTTTTAAGACGGTTAATATTAGTCCCAGCCACTTCGCTAAGTTCTCCAACGGTGTGTCTACCCAGATAACTCAATCTCAGTTTGTCAAAAGGCGGCATTAGAGGCGAAAGTGACAAGATTATTCCACCTCGCTTTCCTCCATACAGCTTAGGCAAAGAGCGTCCTATAAAATATTTAGTCGTAACGCGGGTGTACCTTTTGGGTAGTGTCCAGTCAGAACAGCTACAATACAATAGTTGCGACATTGATTTTGCTATGTGCAACTAGTTCGGTGGATCTCTTACGGTTCACTTTGATCTAGAAGGAACTCGCAGTCGCACGCAGAAGGTTCATTATTCCAGCGATAGAGCACAAGAGGACATCGGACAACCGCCTCGCTTCCAAGGGTTAAGTGCTCATAAAATTAATAAACCATTCAAAATTCACTCAAACAAATTTGTTTTAAGTCTTCATAAATTTTTGGTGTATTTTAGGTTGTCCCAGTCGCTTCGCTGGCTCCTTGTTTGCTAGCCTTCATATAATGTATATATATATGTATATATATATATATACTTAAGGGTTTAGAAAATTAATTTTACGCATTTATATACTTCGAGGGCGTATATGCCATACACCCATTTAAACTATTATTGCCTGCGTGTGCAAGTGTAACCGTTATTCCGTTAGCTTGCCATTGTGACGTTGTAATCATTTTGGGGAATTTGTGAGCAAATTTTATTAATAAATAATTGAAAATATTTTATAACAATTACAATTACAGTGCAAATAGCCTTTGGCCAGCGGCAAAATATGGAGCTTTAGCTGTAATTGACTTTACACTTATTTACAATTATACGCTAGTGCGCCTTAAAATATGTTAAAATTAATTATAAGCACTTTACAATGAATGTGGAGTGTTTGCCCAGGACGTTGCATGTA